GCAGCCATAAATAAATAAAATAAAATAAAAAAAACAGAAAACACTTTGTTTCAAAGAACACTCAGAATGTAAGGACAACTGTCAGAGTGCTCGAAAAATAGTTTCCAATAATGGACTTGTATCTAGAATATATAAAAAACTGTTATAGCTCAATCTTAGAAAGAATGTAGACTTGTGCAACTACATTGGAAAACAGTTTGGCAATTCCTAAAGAAATTAAACGGAGAGTTTTTTGACACAGCAGTTTTGCTCCCAGTGATATGCCCAAGAGAAACAAAAATATGTCTGCACAAAAACTTGTACATGGATATTCTTGGCAGCATTATTCGAAACCAAAAAGTCAACCCAAATATCCACTAACATGGGTAAACAAAGTTGTACGTTCCATACAATAGATTAATTCAGCAGTAAAAAGGAACCAAAGTACTGATACATGTTATAATATGCATGAGCCTTGAAAACATGCCAGGTGAAAGAAGCTAGACACAAAAGACCACATGTTGTATGATTTCATTCATATGAAATGTCCAGAATGGATAAATCTATAACGACAAAGTAGATTAGTGGAGTGTGATAGCTAAAGGATGTGGGGTTTCTTTTCAAGGTGCTGAATATTTTCTTTAAAAAGATACATATAAATATATTAAAAAAGAAAGTTAAACCACATATAAGTGCTCAAGGAAATGCCATAGTAGGTCTGAGGTGGCAAAGGGGCATAAAAGATGGGATGTGCAATATGTATTTTCTTACCTTAAAAACTGGAGTCATATTGTTTGCCTGTTTCTTTATTTAATGGATTTATTCATAAGCGCCTTATCGTATTTAATTATTGAATCATTCTTAAATTATGGCATATTCTATACATTTTTATTGTTTGCAGCCATACTACAGTCTATCATAGGGCACAGAAATACAATATAAAAAACATCTTTTCCATCTAAGGAATTTGGAATATTAGTTACATAAAGCAGTACAAGAAAGTGTAAGGTATACAACCCTGACAAACTTAAATATTTGATTAAGGGAAAGTTCTGTGTAATGCTTTCAGGACAGGGGTTACAGATGACTTGTAAGGTGGTTTTTGTTATTTAAAGCTTAATTTGGAAGCTGAAATGAAGACAGCTGAAGGTATAGGGCTTTATATATTTTTTTGATTATTTTGTTTGTGCTTAAATCATATAATGGTCATCTTCCAAGTCCTATAACTTTTTTTCATTTAATTAATTTTTAAAAATTTTTATACAATTTTTAAAGGTTACTATCCCCTTACAGTTACTACAGAATATTGACTGTATTCCCTATGTTGTACAGTACATACTTGAGCCTGTCTTACACCCAGTAGTTTGCTGTCGTTAGGTGAGATTTGTTTGTTGTTGTTGTTTTTTTAAGTTTAGTTGCTGTACAGTATAGCGACTCACAATTTTTAAACACTATGCTCCATGTATACTTATTATAAAACATTGGCTATATTCCCTGTATTGTACAGTGTATCCTTATAGCTTATTTTATGCCTAATAGTTTGTGCCTCTTAATCCTCTACCCATATATTGCCCCCTGCCTTCCCTCTTCCTACTGGTAACCTCTAGTTTGTTCTCTATATCTGTGAGTCTCCTTCTTTGTTATATTCACTAGTTTGTTGTATTTGTTAGATCCATGTATAAGTTATGTCATACGGTATTTGTCTTTCTTTGTCTGACCTATTTCTTTAACTACTTTTTGGAGTATTATTACTTTACAACGGTGTGTTAGTTTCTGCTTTATAACGAAGTGAATCAGTTATACATATGTCCCCATATCTCTTCCCTCTTGCATCTCCCTCCCTCCCACCCTCCCTATCCCACCCCTCTAGATGGTCACAAAGCACCAAGCTGATCTCCCTGTGCTATGCGGCTGCTTCCCACTAGCTAGCTGTTTTACGTTTGGTAGTGTATATATGTCCATGCCACTCTCTCACTTTGTCCCAGCTTACCCTTTCCCCTTCCCATATCCTCAAATCCATTCTCTAGTAGGTTTTTTTTTTTTTTTTTTTTTTTTTTTGTGGTACGCGGGCCTCTCACTGTTGTGACCTCTCCTGTTGCGGAGCACAGGCTCTGGACGCGCAGGCCCAGTGGCCATGGCTTATGGGCCCAGCCGCTCCGCAGCATGTGGGATATTCCAGGACCGGGGCACAAACCCATGTCCCCTGCATCAGCTGGCGGACTCTCAACCACTGCACCACCAGGAAAGCCCTGACCTTTTTTTTTTTTTTTTTTTAGAGTCCATATATATGTGTTAGCATACGGTATTTGTTTTTCTCTTTCTAACTTACTTCACTCTGTATGACAGTCTCTAGGTCCATCCACCTCACTACAAATAACTCAGTTTCGTTCCTTTTTATGGCTGAGTAATATTCCATTGTATATATGTGCCACATCTTTATCCATTTATCTGTCGATGGACACGTAGGTTGCTTCCATGTCCTGGCTACTGTAAATAGAGCTGCAGTGAACATTATGGTACATGACTCTTCTTGAATTATGGTTTTCTCAGGGTATACGCCCAGTAGTGGGATTACTGGGTCGTATGGTTCTAAAAAAAAAAAAAAATATTCTCTTTTTAGGTTTTTAAGGAACCTTCATACAGTTCTCCATAGTGGCTGTATCAATTTAAATTCCCACCAACAGTGCAAGAGGGTTCCCTTTTCTCCACACCCTCTCCAGCATTTATTGTTCGCAGATTTTTTGATGATGGCCATTCTGACCGGTGTGAGATGATATCTTGTAGTTTTGATTTGCATTTCTCTAATGATTAATGATGTTGAGCATTCTTTCATGTGTTTGTTGGGCAATCTGTGTATCTTCTTTGGAGAAATGTCTGTTTAGGTCTTCTGCCCATTTTTGGATTGGGTTGTTTGTTTATTTTGATATTGAGCTGCATGAGTTGCTTATATGTTTTGGAGATTAATCCTTTGTCTGTCTGACTTATTGCACTTAGCTTAAATGCCCTCATATCCATCCATGTTGCTGCAAATGGCAAAATTTCATTCTTTTTTATAGCTTACTAATATTCTATTGTATAGATACAGCACATTTTCTTTATCCCTTCTTCTGTTGATGAACACTTAACATAGCTTCCATATCTTGGTAGTTGTTAAAAAATGCTTCTGTGAACGTTGGGGTGCATGTATCTTTTCGAAATTGTGTGGGATTTGGTTTGTTTGTGGGTTTGTTTTTTTCTTTTGTTTTTTTGTGGGTTTTTTTTTTTGGATATGTACCCAGGAGTGGAATTTGGGTCATATGGTAGTTCCATTTTTAGTTTTTTTTTTGAAACCTCCATACTGTTTTCCACAGTGGCTGCACCAATTTACATTTCCACCAACAGTATAGGAGGGTTCCCTTTTCTCCACATGCTCTCTAGCATTTATTATTTTTAGACCTTTTGATGATGGCCATTCTGACCAGTGTGAGGTGACAGATACCTCAGTTGTTTTGATTTGCATTTCTCCAATGACTAGTGATGTTGAGCATCCTTTCATGTGTTTTTTGGCCATCTGTGTGTATTCTTTGGAGAAATGTCTGTGTAGGTCTTCTGCCCATTTTTTTGATTGGGTTGTTTTTTTGATATTGAGCTGTTTGTATATTTTGGAGATGAACCTCTTGTCAGTCTCATTGTTTGGAAGTATTTTCTCCTGTAGGTTGTCTTTTTGCTTTGTTTATGGTTTCCTTTGCTATGCAAAAGCTTGTAAGTTTAATTAGGTCCCATTAGTTCATTTTTGCTTTTATTTCCTTTCGGACATGGATCCAAAAAAATCTTCCTGTGATTTATGTCAAAGCACTTTCTACTTTTCCCCTAGTTTTATAGTATCTGGTCTTACATTTAGGTCTTTAACCCATTTCGAGTTTATTTTTGAATAGGGTGTTAGAGAATGTTCTGCCCCTCTTTTGCATGTAGCTGTCCAGTTTTCCTAGCACCACTTACTGAAGGGACTGTCTTTACTCCATTGTATATTCTTGCCTCCTTTGTCATAGATTAATTGACCATAAGTGTGTGGGTTTATTTCTGGACTCTCTATGCTGTTCCATTGATCTGTGTGTCTGTTTTTGTGCCAGTACCATACAGTTTTGATTACTGTAGCTTGGTAGTACAGTCTGAAGACATGGAGTATGATTCCTCCAGCTCTGTTTTTCTTTATCAAGATTGTTTTGACTGTTCAGTGTCTTTTGTGTTTCTGTACAAATTTTAAAATTATTTTTTCTAGTTCTACGAAAATGCCATTGGTATTTTGATAAAGATTGCATTGAATATCTAGGTTGCCTTGGGTAGTATGGCCATTTTAACATTATTGATTGTTCCAGCCCAAGAATAGGGCAGAACTTTCCTTTCCATCTGTTTGTGTTGTAGACACAGAATTTTTTTTAAGTCAAAATTGAAAGAGAGAGGAGGGGTACACTTTAAAAAGCTAATTTCTCAAAGCAGGGTGTGAATTGGGCATGGTTTGCTAGACAACAGGAAGTCAGTTTGATCTGTGTTACCACTAACTTTGGTTCTCTAAATTTTTACGTAATGATTTAGAAGTAATTTTGGATTTTATTAGCAACTGCTTTCCGTAACACAGCATATTATCCTATACACGTTCTGGCCACTGAATGAATCTAAAACTGATTCCATAAATAATAATTTACTTCAGACTGTTTTTCCTTGAGTTAGAACTTTTGTTAATCAGTTTTTCCCCAAGTTTAACATTCCTAATGTTTTGATGACATAATGTCTTTAAGAAGTATTGCTAAAATTAGGGTTTTCTTGAGGGCATTAAAGGAAAGGCACATAGTTTACAAAACAGAATTGCAGTTTTTTAGTATTCATTTGCTTCTTAGGCTCAGAACAGTATTTGAAAATAGGTCTTTCGTTGTCAGAATTCTCTTTCTAGTGGAGCTCCATCATAGACACATCTGCTATGATGTGTCTGCATTTTTTGGATAATACTGTATTTTAAAGTCTAGTTTGCACATTTGTGGTTCTAGAGAGAGACGACGACGACGAAGCAGAAGTGGCACAAGATCTCCTAAAAAGCCTAGGTCTCCCAAAAGAAAATTGTCTCGCTCACCATCCCCTAGGAGGTAAGAATATTAATCTTTTATTAAATCTATCCTGTTTTTCAGGAACTGTCCTAGAGTTTTTCTTCCTTTTCAGGAATTAAAATGCTTAAGAATGTGCTGATACACTCTCTTCATGACTTGAAGCTGTGTTATAATAAACACTGTTTAGGATTGGGCATTTTCGACCTGTAATCAAGTTATAGTCTTCTTCCCTATATTACTTATATACAGCTTGTATCCAATGACTTGAAATTGGATCTTTGCTGTCCTCTTTATAGCAAGTGAACTTGGGTCATCAAGTTTGCCATCTAAAACAAGTTTAAACTTACTCCTATTTAATTAATGGTGAAGGTTCTTGAGCAGTTCGTTTCAAGCATCTTGTCAGCATTTTACTGTCATCCTAGACATAAAAAGGAGAAGAAGAAAGATAAAGACAAAGAAAGAAGCAGAGATGAAAGAGAACGATCCACAAGCAAGAAGAAGAAAAGTAAAGATAAGGAAAAGGAACGGGAAAGAAAATCAGAGAGTGATAAAGATGTAAAAGTATGTTTACAAACTAATTTATTTTGGTGTTTTGGGTGATGCTGGTACTTTAAAGAAGTGATTTTCCTGTGAAGACGTTTACTTTTATTATTTTCCTTGGCAAAGCAGGTTACACGGGACTACGATGAAGAGGAGCAGGGGTATGACAGCGAGAAAGAAAAGAAAGAGGAGAAGAAACCGACAGAGCCAGCTTCTCCTAAAACAAAAGAATGTTCTGTGGAAAAGGGAACTGGTGACTCACTAAGAGAATCCAAAGTGAATGGCGATGATCATCATGAAGAAGACATGGATATGAGTGACTGAATATTGCCTCTGTGGGAATCCAACTGTATACGTGCATCAGTGTCATTCCTCTGTGTGATTTCTTAATGCTGTATTTGTTCATCTCAAATCTAGATGTATACAGCTCTGAGTCATAAATGGTTATAAAGCTCTTGATGTTGATATTCGTTATTTACATCCAAAAGCTTTTAGAAAAATGATACATGGGTAACCAGTTCTTGACAGGTTGAAATCTGATTGAGTAAATGAGCAGTTTTACTATTCTGGTGCTGCTTCATAACAAAAATGAAAAGCTGCATGCATCTACAGCAGGCATGGATTGTTTATGTTATATGATCTCCTTTATTAAGTTCACTTATAGTATTTCTAGAATTTGATTCATTGCTGTAGTAGAGCCATGTAGGGAATGCACTGATTGCATGTTAATTGTGGCAGGAATATCCTAAATGTCATTCAAATCCTCCAACATGATGGATCTACTTATGGTCTTGTTTGTTGACATGACAAATTAACATTCTTATAGTTACATCTGGAAATGAGCATTTGAAATAGATAATCCTTTAAGCCTTGTGGCTAAATTTTTGTGGCTTTTGTTTAACTTTGAAGGGTTATATATGCACTAACCTTTTTTGATGGCTATAATTAGGCTTTAATTACAGAAACAAGATTTCAATGAAACTGTCTTTGGCAGTAAGTAAATAGCATATTTTGGAGTAGAGTTGTATACTTTTTCATAAGGTGTTTGGGAAATTTTTTTCCTGAAATAATTTATTGAACATCTACATCAGTGAAAGTTAACTGCCTATCCTGAAGTCCGTCTGTAAAAGAAAGTTATCTCTTGTCCTGATTTTCAATTGTCCACTCTTTTATTAATTTGTTTTAATCTCATTGTTGGAAAAGGGGGATAGTGCATTTTAAATTGACCTTCATATGCTTTTAAAAATAAGACAGATCTACTTGATAATGTACTTTTTATTTGATCTCAAGTTGTATAAAACCAATAAATTTTGTGTTACTGTTACTGCAGTAGTAATCTTATGCACACAGTGATTCCATGTTAAATGCAAAGTAGTTAGGCATCTGTTTTCTTACAGGAGTTTCCAAGCTTCACTTTTGTGCAGTAAAAACAAAAGTAGGCTACAGTCTGTGCCATGTTGATGTACAGTTTCTGAAATTGTTTTACAAGACTTTGATAATAAAACCCTTAAACTTATGTTTATGTTCCTGTAAAACCGTATTTGTATTTATTTACGTTGTTGAATGTATGGCATTTACCTCATTCATTTTACATATCAATTTCTTTTTCCTTTCAGTCCACATATTTTAATATAGTAGTAAGATGGAATCCATCACTGTAGTGATTAGTTGCCATTAAAATTGTCAGAATTAGTTTAATTTCTATCTAAAACAGTCTTTTTCTAAGTGTAATTTTCTTATATTTTGGGTGTAGGACTTGGGTTGAGTAAAGCAATGAACTTTAGGATAAACAAATGATCCCACCTATATCTAGTAAATTTATATTTTTGGTGACTATAAACATACTTTTCTGGAATAGTATAGAAACTCAATGGTATGTATCTACTGTACAATACTAAATAGTATATTTATTCATTTATGAAATGAGTAGTGTTTGAGTGGCTGGGATTAAGAGGAAAATGAGCCGGAATTGTAGCTTTTATCCAAATTGGAGTATAATTTTTTTTTTTTAACTTTTAGAATTGAAATGCCGTATAGATAAGCCAGCATTGTTTTTACAGTTTGTAGTAACTTTTTAAAGATTTTATGGAAGGGAATTTTGTCTGTAGTGAGTAAGACGTTCTAGTAATGATCCTAAAAATCACTGCATTTTTAAACACGAAGTTGAACGCAAATGGCATTCTTTAAACTTACAAAAAAATTTAGTAGAAAAACATTTAAAGATTGAACCATATGATATTGTCGGTTTTGTAAGTCAAAAACAAGTAAGATATTGGCGGTTTCACTTGGTTAAGCGTAATAGTACTCAAATTTTATTCCCTCACTTGTAGTCTTTGAACATATAGTATGCTAATTTCTAAAAAGGGATTAAGAAATTTTGGGCTTTAAAATAGTACCACTGACTTAAGATGCTGTTGTGAAGGGAGTCTATACTTAGGTTATTTTTCAGTGAACATTTATGCACAAAGGTAGGGTTGCACGGGACAGAAGCCTTTAACACATAACCAGTCGAAATCAAGTGAACACTGCCTCCACACTGAATTTTGTTCTGTATTTGGTAGTGAAAATGATTAAAAAATAAAAGTGGTTTTGTTAGAAAAATGTTTGTGCTATTTATTTGCTTAAATTCTTCATGAGTGAATGAGGTAGTAGCTATTTAAGAGCCCAGTCATGAATTTCAGCTTCATTTACAGCTGGGGAGACCTGTGTTTCCTACTTCATTTTCCTGTCTGTAAAATGGGAGTGATATCTACCTTGTAGTTGGTAGAAAAAAATGTAGCCCTGTGCACCTGGGTCAGTAAATGGTACCTGCTATTTAATTATGGAGCTTTTCAAAACTATATGAAAATTTAGTTTGAGGTAACATTTTAGCAAAAGCACTAAGATAAATTGCATGCAGATATGGCTATATTTCCCTTTACATTTTTGTGAATATAGGTTTTGGATAATAAGCTCCCTGGTAGTGATTCTATGTGGAAGGTAGAAGAATATTAGTTACTTAGGGAAGAAAGACAAACGGCTTCTACTAGAACAGTGAAAACTAATTTTACATTCACCTTGGAGTTGCATCTTAAAACTGATGTTCTGCTCTCAGTGTCATATAGCCTGTACAAGCAAGCCTACTTTTCCTCTGGCAAAACAATACCACTTTCTTCACTTGGGCACCAGATTAAGTGGTCTGTGCTGTTTGAAGATGGATAGACATCTTTTAAGCTGGAATTGAGATTTGTTCCTTTTGTCTCAAATCTAGCTAGTGCATTTCACTCCTATCTAAAATATTTTCTCTAATCAAATACATGTAGTTGTGTTTAAATATGGAAACTCTACTGATACTTTTAAAGAGCATCAGAATATGTTACTAAGGTTTTATTAGCAGAGGTAGTTTTTAAATGAGACTAATTCTGGAGTTGTTGATTTTGAGTCTGTTTTAGTTTTATTTTCCCATTTTCATTTTATAATATCAGTATATGTAAAATTCATATAGACATTCTTCAGCAAAACAACGTGTGAACCATGCTAATTCTTTGCTAGTGGGAATATTCTTAAGAATATACTTAAAGGTTATAGTAGGCGTTAAATATCAAGTTTCAGAAGACAAGCATCCTGTAGGTTAGCATCATGTAATTTTGTTCTTATCAATCAATCAGTCAGCATTCAATCCAGGGAGCCAAATGACCCAAAAAGATTTGATGACAGAGATTTGACCTTAATTGTGGGAGTTGGTTTAATAGTCTCAAAGTTGTCTATGCTGTGCATCTGATGCTGGAGACTAAAGCCCACAGGCAGTCAAGAAAAGAAGGATAGTTGAGAGGGGTAAGAATAAGTTGGAACCGTAAGCTGGAACCCACAAGAGTGGGCTGAAACTGCAGGACCAAGCAGATAAGCCACAACGTGTATGAACTACATAATTTCTGCTTCACTTCTTCAGAATTCCTGCACTACCCATGTTCATTACTTAAACATCCCCGCCAGTCACTGTCAGCCTTCTTTAGTGACCAAGAATTCTATGGGAGGTACAAGTGCGTCTTATTTTTGTGTTTTTATACTACACGGTTTCTGCTTTAGGCTAATTAATCATTTTCACCTGCAAAACACGAGCAAATTCAGGAATGATTGCCAAATACCTTTCTTTAAAACACTTAGGAAATTTGCTTCAGTTTTTTTAGGTGCTGTGGCAAAAGGAAAATTCTATGTACTATATGTGCCATTATGGCCAGAAGTATTATTCCCAAAATGAGCTATAAGTTTTTTTAAAGTTCATCACTAGGTAGTACTACAAGGATGATCACATGATCTAAAAAGTGTGCTATTGGGCTTCCCTGGTGGCGCAGTGGTTGGGAGTCGGCCTGCCGATGCAGGGGACACGGGTTCGTACCCCGGTCCGGGAAGATCCCACATACCGCGGAGCAGCTGGGCCCGTGAGCCATCGCCGCTGAGCCTGCGCGTCTGGAGCCTGTGCTCCGCAACGGGAGAGGCCACAACAGTGAGAGGCCCGTGTACCACAAAAAATGTGTGTGTGTGTGTGCTACTGAGATGACATTTTTAGATGGCATTCTAAGATACTATTGGCCCAGATTTCTGATATAAAATGCTTTACAAAAGCAGTTTTTGCCCATTCATAATATACAAATGATGGGCTTTTACTGAGTTTAGTTTTAATGTCTTTACAATTGATTTAATACCTCCTGTCCATTTATCTAAGTTTCACTGTCAGTTGTCTTTGAAAGTTCCCAAGTATAGCAACTTTGGTAAGGATTCATTTTGTTAATTTTGGAAAACACAGTTAAGATACCTTTTGCTGGAGTTAAGAACAGGCATAGTGTGTCCATACTAAGTAATTTGCTCAATTTCAGAGGCTAGCATACTACAAGTAGGACTTTGAATTCACCCCGTTTTTTACAACTTTTTCTCAACCATATTGTGACAAATAAAAGTTAACAGCAAAAGGAACTCAGTATTCTTTAGTCCTTTTGTGGCCTCGAAACAAGCTCTTTGTCTGCTTTAGGCTTAGTGAAAACTAGGGAGAAATTTCACTTAAGCACTCATTATTAACCACCCTTCCCCAAGATGTGAATGATAAGCTGTGCATGAATAACACTATGAAAACACATTTTTATTAGTGTGAGTGGGGCTCAATACCAGTTCTAAACAGGAGAAAAACGGAATATTTTCAGCTTCTGTTGGCTATCAGCTTCTCTGAAATGTGTTCATGTCTAGACAATTGTATGTAGTTATACTCAAAATAATCAGAGCATCAGGTTTATGCCTCCCTTTTTATGAAGCTTGATAATCTTCTGTACATGAATGTCTAGACAGGCAAACTG